GTAAAAATATACGATGTTCAAAAAAAAACTTAATTACTCCTGGCCAATTAATTCTTTTACCATCATTTAGTTGCCATCATGCAAGTATATTTGAATTTAAATCAGATCGTGAAAAGAATGACTAATATATTTCATCTCCAAGTTTAAGAGCTTTTGCTTGACGGGCTGTTGAAGAAACTAGAATTGATTGTTTTGAATTTGGTTTTTGATTTTCACTGTGAAAGCTATAATTCGGATAAATATTTGAATAATATTGAACAAGAAATTTAGTCATCTTAATTGATAAGGTAATCTCATGAAAAGGCCCAATAAAATAATCAGGAAATTGTTCTGAACCAGTTACAATATGATTAATTAATCCACCAGACATTGTACAGAAGTCTAATGCCTCTTGAACTGTAAAATTATAATGTCCCAAAGATCCAGTTTTTTCAATATTAGATTGTACAATTAAATCTAATGATGATAAAAAATCTTGTGACAAGTAGAGATAAGCTTTGGCTTTAATTTGTTGAATATAGATTTGATAATTAAAATTTTCTAGCACTTCGAGCTCCATATTACGATTTGAGTTAGGAAATAAACCAAGTTCTCTAAGGTAAATAAATTAAATAAATAACAATAATTATATTATTTAAAAAATATATATTGAAAAAAAACTTGTCCATTATAATGTTTATAGGCAAAGCACCAGAATGAATACCATGGACCATAATCAAGTATACATTCTTATAAATATTTATGCAAGTGCATATTAGGGGAACAGAAAAGTTTACCATAAATTTGTTCAGCATACTGTAAAAATGCTATCATAGCTTTATGACCAGCTTCAATTTCAGCTTCAGTTATAATTCTTTGGCTCTATATTAATACCACAGTAACAAATGCTTGCCAGCATCATCGATCAGCTTCATCAAGAAATTTGTGTAAAACATAAGTTGAATAAATCAAAACCTACGTCTTCCATTGATCTGCTGTAAGTGTATCGAAACCTGATGTGATCTTAAAGTTTATACGTCCCATATCAACTGGTAAAGGAGTTGCATCAATTAGGTTTTGAATTTCATGTAATTGTTTAATACCAAGCTTTGGGAATCCTCATTCATCCACATATAATATACTATACGTTTACTTGTACCTAAAATATATTATGCATAGGATCATAAATCAGGGTATATCAATATATGGTAATTCTAAAAGACAAGTCCATTGAATTTCATATTGGTGAAATAATGTTTTTTGCATTGCTGAATCACTAATTTTGTATTGAAATGCTATTCGTCGATGTTTAGCATTAGTCAATGGTGGATCATCTTGAATACAATTAGAGTAATCAAGTTTGGAAGATCCTGAAAAGCATGAAAAAACTCGAGTACATTTACTGCATGCATGTTTTGAAGAATGCGATACTAGTCCTGTAACCTAATTAAGATAAATAATAAAGATAATAATTAATAATACATGTTTTTACTATTAATTATATCATTGTTATAATACATATATAATGTACCTTACGTGCAGCTGGTATATCACATGCAATTTGAATTAATGCACAATGAAACATACGTCTGATTGGATATAAAGTAGTTTTAAACAATTGTCTACTCCAAAGTTGCTTTAGTTCATTGACTACAGGCTGGAGATAATTTTGTAATTGGGTTGTGTCTGGCTCTTTTGGACCAGGTATAATGCTAGCAAGAATAAGATTTTTACTTTGATATCTAATATGTCTTGGAAAGTTAAGAATTGTTATATATATTGGCGCACAGCTTCTTTTGACTCGACTATAAGGTGTATACCAATCAAGATTGAGAGCTAATCCAATTCGAATATCAGTTTTATCCGGTTGTATATCAGAATCCCGACATACAAAATCCTGACACACAAAATCCCGGCAACAAAATCCCAATACACAAATTCCCGACAAATTAAATTCCTAATTTTAATATTTTTAGGATTTTAATTTGTCAGGATTTTGTGTAATGGGATTTTGTTGCCGGGATTTTGTGTGTCGGGAATTTGTGTGTCGGGATTCTGATATACAACCATTTTATCCCCTACAAAAAATGGCTGTCCTTGCTCATCTAAAAATTCTTGCCAAACTTTTCCGTCATAAATATCACCTAATACACCATTCTCAATTTGCCGCTTAAATGGTGAATTCATTAATCTTTCATTTGATTCATCTGCTAATATTGACGCAATTCTCGTAATAATAGATTGATAAGGATAAATCGTTTGAGGCTAATTTAAAAGTAAATATTATATCAGTTCTTTTAATTTAATATAAAAATATCAAAATAAAATAACTTACTTTATATTTAAGTTTTCCACCTGACCCCCTAATAGCCTTCGTTAAGACTTTTTGACATATAGGGCATTTTGTATGTTCTGTAATTTTTAAATGCAATTCCGCAGGTAAGTAAAGAGAATGACAACGCAAGCACACTATATATTTGAGTATCAATTCGGGTTGTGCGATAATTTTTTCAACAAAGTATTGACTTTTTGGAAAAGTTTGAAATTGAAATGCATCTATAAAAGTTAATAATTGGCTTAAAAAAATAAATAAAGTCATTATTCCAGTCTTAGTAATCATAAATGCTCTTTGGAAAAAAAATAACCAAAGAATAATCCATTGTGTCACATAATTTTCTTTTAAAAGTGGTGGATTATATAAAAGTCGTACTGGATTATATGATGGTTCTGGAAAGGTATCTGGTAACCTTGAATTAGCATTTAATAACGAAGATAGTTTAATTCTTTCGTAATGTTCATTATCAGTTTCCTCATTGATGTCGATTTCTTCATAAATGTCATATTCATCCTGATCAGAATTATTATTTTCGTCACTTTGATTGGAATCACTACCTTGTTCGCTTTGATTAGAGCTATTAGATTTATTATTGTCATCGCTTTGATCATCCATTGACAAATGATCTAGTTGCAATGTTGATAATCTTTTTGGCTTATAAACTAAAGTCTTATTTGACGCTGACTATTTTATTAATATATATGAGATTGATAAAAATGTTTAATATTTCAAAGCAAAATATCAACTTTTATTTTTACCTTGTTATATTCTTGAAGTGAGATTTCTATTATTTCCGTATATAAAGATGTCTCTGCCATATTTATACTACCCTCATTATGGTCTTCAAATTCATTCATTTGTGTGTCAGAATATATCTCATTTTCATCATCAAAGTTACTTTGGTCCAATTGTGTGTTAAAATAATCTATCACGTTTTCATCATCGAAGTTACTATGTCCATTGAAAGTGTTGAGCTTTTGAATTATTGAATTAGTTATAGGTCGTTGAGTTGTACGAGATATTGTATGAGATGAAGAATTTGTCAGAACAGTAGTTATATGTTGAGGATGGTTCTTCTGATGTTGTCGCCAGGTTCTCCACGATAAAAGCTTGCCACCTATCATGTGGCATTTTGAACAAAAACACTTGGGCATTACGTGTGAAATTTAAAAAAATATATATATATAGTGTATAGATAAAGTAACGTTCACTAAAAGATTTGTTATTTGTTATTTTCGCACTTGCTACGTTTATCCACGATGTTTGATTCTCTCATACACCCTTGCACACACGACACCTCATGAGATACACGAAATATTTATTTGGTACAAAGTTATTCAAAAAAAAAGGAACAAAGTAGAAGTTATTAGACATGCATCGATCAAACTTATTTAAAAAAAAAATCATACGTCGATCAAACTTATTTATATTTAAAAAAAAAATAAAGTTCGATCATACATCGATCAAATTTATTTATATTAATTTGTAAAATAAAGAGTATCTGTCATCATTACGATCAGTGTCATCATGCCCCTGAATTGCATGCTAAGTATTCTAGAAGTTTTCTATTAGTTTTTCAAATATTTTCTATTTGTTTTTTGAAAATTTCTTATACATATCTATATTTTAATCTGATAATAAATACAAAGGTATTTTAATAATATTTCAGTAGTTTTTTTAATTATAATAATTGTTGAAAAACCTTAGAACTAACATACTATTCTTTACAGAAGTTTTTTAATGTAATACCTTTAAAAAAGGTTTACAGTTCTACCTGTGATCGAACATTAGACATGGTTAAATAATTTATAGTTGTTCTCATAAATTCTGGCACAGCAGATAACAATTTACCCTATAAAGAGGCTTGCTCGATATATTTGATAGAAACTTCATAACAGATAACTACTTCATTTCTTTTTATACAGTTATTGTAATTTATGATATTTTATTGGAGGATATATGATTTCATTTTATATATTATTAATGTTGGACGTTTTCTTTTTACATATTATGTTATTTATTTTTTTATTTTTTTTATATCATGTGATATATGATTCGCTTTTTGTATATTATGTTATTGTAAATATGACCGTTTTTTTTTTTAATATATTATGCTATGTTATTGTAAAGAACGAACATCGAAGATTCTCTAGAGAAGTCTTACGACCTTGACAATATGCATTTAGTAATAAATAAATTTAAAATATCTAATAACCGAAATATGACAACATTATTTTTGTCTTTGAAACATCGTGCAGACAAATCTTATAAACTTCTGGCCCAGTATCACTTATTTCTAATTAAAGCAACAATTGTTTTTTATTATCTGAACAAGATGGTTCCGTATCAATTCATCTACATTCACTTTACAGACTTACCACTTTACCGATGCTTAATTTGCCGATAGATTTATTTTACCGACAATTAATTGCAATACATAGATAGATCTTAGATCTTAGTCAAGGTAAAATAATGAAGCAGGAGTAAAGAAGAATTTAGGCTTCATTGACTATCAAAAAAAAATATAATAATAATAATGTAGTAATAACCATGGCGACGTTATCAATGTTGAGAACTTCCAAATGATTATTAAGAATTGAGAGATTTGGAAATAGTATTTGACTTTATAAATGAAATTACAAATTTCGTGTATATTACTATAAAATTATTACATTTAACTAATCAAGATCTCATAAATGTTAAAATTTGCATGAAAAGCCATCTTTTATAATAATAACAAGAGCAATAGACTATATACAACGCTTTCAAGTTTGTGAGATAGTAAATTTCTTTTTTTTTTTCGCTATAAATGGTTCTAAGTATTAGCAAATCAAAGCAGAACGAACATGCAAATTTAGTAAAGCTGCTTTTTTACAAACTTGAGCTCGCCGTATAAGAGTGTTAATAAATAACTAGAGATGGGCCACTGCGCATGCTGCGCAGTGCGATTTCATAATTCTGACCAGTTGGCATAATTCTGGTTAGCTTGTATAATGCTAGAATGCGCAGCCGGCGTAGTAGATTCACGTACGTACGTACGTGCATACGTACGATTTGCCCATCCAGGCTTACACATCGATCTACATGTCCGGATCAAACATTGCCGGGAATTTCCTTGTATGGGTTAATTTATCCAATTTTGTTATACAAGTGGTACGTTTGGATATACAGCAAATATTTGTTCTATTGTTACAATTGATTGTTCTTCCAAATCGTAGGTTTGTCCATTTTTAGGTTTTCTTAGTTTTAATCGTTTCATGGTGAAGTCTCGTGGGTCATGCTCAATCGAGCATACAAATTGTTGATTTCTGAGTAAGTCTATTAGGCCGTAATCGTGGATTTTCTTTAATGTTGGGTTTCCTTTTAATTTCTTTGAAATGCTCATTCGGTCTTGTGGTTCAAATAGCTCTAAATATTTATAACTATAGTGTGCACCTAATAGCTTATTTATACGGTTTATTTTACTTTGTATTTGACTTTTTCCGTATTCCAATTGTTTTTTGTATTTTTCGAATTGGAGTATTTCTTGTCGCGATGTTATTTCTACTTGTTTTGGATGCGCTAAATATTCTTGATGCGTCATCGTTGGTATTCGTTCTCTAGTTTCATCTTCGTCTACAAGACTTTCTATTTCTTCAAAGCAATATTTTGCTTGTTCACTATTGGTACATTTTTGTTCTAAATTTTTATATTCTTCACAATTTTCATAATATCTATGTATTTCGTTGAAAATAAAGTCGAGTGGTTGTTTAATCATTGGTATCAATGGTAACTGTATTGCTTCGTCATAAGTATACCACTTCCA